TTGCGTTCCATTCAGTTTTATTATGCTAGGAAAACAGATCATGTGATTTTCCAATTCGAATTGCCCAGAAATAACAGTTTTTCTCCGCAGTGACAAGATATTCTTGAGTTCGCTACTTCCTCTTCTATATTTTTGCTCAATGCCTTTGCACAATTTTGTTCCCCATCAAAACAAAACAACAAAAACATTCAGAGATGGATATCAACGATGCATACATATTTTAGCTTTTTTCCCATTCTCTGGAGATTTCAGAGGAAAACGCTTATATTGGAAAACGCTTTCTATGTGGATGTGAATTGGAAAAATGGAAACTTAAATGTTTCAATTGACTGAATCCAAAAAAAATGCTTATAGTTAGTAGAAATGTGCGTAAAACATTTACGGAATAGATTCACGGAAAAATAACACTGCTATTCTATTCCGAATTCCATGATTTGTTTCTGAAGCAGTAATGACACCTTGTTTGTTGTTTTATGTGTGCATACATCCTATGATTTAACTGAAGCATTCCACATTTCGCTTCAGTCATTACTCAGTGAATGTCCCGAGAGAATTTGGTAAAAGTTGATGATGAGAGCAAAACTTGATGGAAAAAATCTTGAATCACGCATGTTAAAAATAGTTCATCCAAGTGGCGCATGTAAAATATGGTGACACGTTCGAAGGATTCAAAACCAGTCCGGAGACCAACCTCGAGCTCTAGCGTATGCTGCGGCTAACGATGGATGCTTTGTGCTCAACGCCAGATCTGCAACCATACACGAGGCCGCTTCGGATGCATTCAGGGGGGTTCCAATAGCCGCACCAGCCGGACTGACATGCTTGAACGAAGAGGCTGCCGGAAGACCTGTGGCCTGTTTCAACTCGCTGACCAGCTGCCATGCATTCAACGCATCCAATATATTGATGTAGCCCGGAGCACCATTCAGAACTGTAACAATACTCAACAATATGTCAANTCATTTTCCTAGTCATAAACTACAACGGCCACGAAATCTGGTGCTACTGCTGTCTATGTTGTGTTCTGTCTGTATTTCAATTTGTCATCCCACTTAAAATTCTTCCTAGTCAAAGTAATGCCCATAAATTTGATAGGATGATCAACGAATAATGCAAAAACTGGATTTATTATGGGAATTTTTTCAAGTCGAGTGCGTTTTTTGCGAATAAAAGGATTTTATATGGAAGAAAGTCAGATATTTGAATGTCAGAATTCGAACGAAAAAAAATTGGATTGTAATGGAAAATAGATTGAGAAGAAAATCACCTTTGAGTGGCATTTCTCGATTACGAATGTACAGCTCAGCATCATCTTTTTGATGAGGATTAGTACCGTATCTCAGTGGAATGCAACGTTCACCGTTCACGGTCAACTGTCTTCGCATGTAACCACTGATGGACTCGTCGTATGATGTCGTATGTTCGAAAGCCTGTAATTGCACCGAGTCACGAATTATTCTGATAGTCAGAGTTGGCTTTCGAAAGTTCAATCGGACTGAAAATTTGTGGTGGTGGTGTTCCGTAGTTCGGATCATTTTTCGTGCTAGAATCTGGGCATTTTTCTCTGGATGGTTGACTTCTTTGTGTTCGTCTAGCATAAGAGGAACCATAAAAATTTTGATTTATGAAGCTCTTTGATTATGCTTTGATCGATTGTAGTGAAACAATAATTGCCATTCATCATGAGATCGTTTCGTTTGTTAAATTCAAAAATGGAATTCCAATGTTTCAAACCAAATGAGACAATATGAATTGTTTGGCTCACGATTGAATGGATTAAATTTTACGGCTTATAATGTACCATTCAATTTTACTCTCTGACATTAAAATAACTGAACTGAAAAAGTTAATCCAAAACTAAATATTCCTGCAATGAGCACATGCATC